AGTATTCGACGCAGTACCCGCCGGGGGAAGCAGAGGAAGAGGAAGACCTCCACTCCGTTGGAAGGACCAAGTGGAGAAGGACCTGGCTTCACTTGGAATATCTAATTGGCGCCACGTAGCGAAAAGAAGAAACGACTGGCGCGCTGTTGTTAACTCGGCTATAATCGCGTAAGCGGTGACTACGCCAATCAAGAAGAAGAAGAATTAAAAAGCTTATTAGCGAAATTTAGCAAAGTACCGTTATGTGTCAGTGCTGATGTTGGCCGATGCTTGGCGGGACCAAAATTGTGTAGGCGTTATATAATATTAATTCTTAACTCTTTATTTTTCGATTTAATAAAATGTTTGCAGTTTTTTTTTATACGCTTGCCACCTGTTGCTACAGAGTATAATAGTTTTTTTCAACTAACGGTTGTTCTACTGTGATCAAATTGAAAGGTGAATTTTTAATTTCTCCATACTTCACGTGTTTTGGAGTCGCTAAATTGTTTTTCTGTGAGTTGCAAAAATTTCACCTCAAAAGATTCCTTAGTATTTGAGATACGCGTGGTTTTGAGAGTCTCTAAAAGTGAGTTCTTCGATTTTTACTATGTCTGAATTTAATGAACATCCATTTCATACTGCATTTTTTCGTGATAATTTCGCCACATTTTACACTAAACACCGCTTTCTCCTGATTTACCTTCGTGTAACTTCTGGCTATTCAACTAATTTAAATGACCACTCCCAGGACACCGTTTTGACTCAATTGGGGATATAAAAGCTGAGTCGAAGAAGTCTCTGATGGCCATCACGACGGAGTATTTTACCAAGTGCCATGATGACTGGAAAACTCGTTGGAGTAAGTGTATTGCAGAGGAAGAGGATTACTTTGAAGGAAATGAAATTTACAAAATTCACCTTTCATTTTGATCACAGTTGTACATACACAAAAAATTTAAATAAACAAAAAATGTAAACGAACAGTTAAATAAAAAAATAAATTTTTTATTCTTATGGCAATGGACTTTGAAAATCAAAAATTTCCATTAAATGGAAAATAAAAAACAAGACGACTTTTATAATAATATACGTAACTTTTTCATTTCATAAATTAATATTAAACAATGTGAATTCTTTTATGTCAAAAACAGCTGTTTTATAAATCTGCTATGGTAGTGAGAACATTCTAGATTAGTCAGTAGATTAAATGTAATGAAATCACTTAAAATTTCTGGTCGGAATATTAGCTCAAACCAGCCCGAAATTTTTGGTCAAAAATCGGTTTCCTTATTGAGAAACCGCCATTTTGTCAAACAATTTTATTTTGCTTATTTCTTCGAATACTACATTTCTTTAACGAAATCTGTTTAGTTTTTTCATTTCAGAGGATGTAGTTTTGAGATATATTGGTCACCGCAAAATATCTTTTTTGAAAGGAACTCCCGAAGGTCAGCTGTAGTTCCTTTCCAAATATATGTATGTATATTTTACTAATCTTATGTCTTAAACTACAGTTAAAAGATAAAATAATATGTGTACACATTTTTGGATCAATAAATGTAAAAGTTTTCTCAGAAAAAATTATGTCAGAGGCCAGGTAGTGCCAGGGAGATTACCGAACGTTTTTGTGAAGTCTGCATTTTTGCTCAATCAAATTAAAATCACCGAGCTGAGGGGTCACATATAAAGGTAAATTTCAAGGACTTGACTGAATTCTTGAAAATTATTATAAGAGGGTTTTTTTTTCGTCGCTCTAATAAGAGTAACAGCGAAAAAGTACAAATTCTGCTCTTTCTTTTTAGTATTTAAATTTGTATAACCTCACTCGTTCCATCTGTTTCTATATACGCCAACTCAGTTTTTGAGATATCGATCTGGAAATTTGCAAACGACATTTTCTCCTCTAAAAGCTGTTGTCGAAATCGTCGACATCGTACACGGAGACCGTGGATAGGCGATTCGACGCCATTCGCATCAACTCGGATTGACGTATGGAACGACTTGGCGCAGTTTAAGTCGAGATCTTAAATTGAAAGCCCACAAAATACAGTTTTTACAAGAACTGAAGCCTATCGACTTACCTAAGTGACATCAGGCTCTATAAAAGTTCCAAGAAGATCTGTTGTTTTCGAGTTTCAAAATTTTGTTCAGCGATGCGGCCCATTTTTGACTCAATGGGTACGTAGACAAGGAAAAATTGCTGCATTTGGGACAAAGAGCAATCTGGGACAAAGAGTCTTGTGGTTAGCGGTTCGGTGGCTTCATCGGCCCATATTTTTTCAAAAATGATGCCGGTGAGAACGTAAACGTCAACCGTTATTAACCGACTATTTGATTCCTCATTTGGTTTCAACAATACTGCGCTACTTCCCACCCATCGCATCAATGAATGCATTTATTGAGAGAACATTTCGGTGAGCAGATAATTTCATCTTTTGGGTCGATCGTTTGGCCGCCAAGATCGTGTGATATCACACAGTTTCTGTGCTTTTTCTTTAATAAACTAGGGAACCTCGAAATTTATAAACCCTTACCTTCGCAAGCGAATTTATCATTTTTTCCTTGTTAAATTCGAAAATAAAAAGAATATATTTTTTGCTTCCGACTATGGTTTTAAAATGACCTCGTAAATATTTCCACTTCGTAACAATTCTTCATAAGCAATTAAAACTTAATTCGATTGCATTTAATATTATTTTGAAAAAACCATCAACGTTTGCTTATAATTGCTGTTAATTCCCACGCCTTGAAATCAATAAATGGGTTAGCGTATCACTGGTGGTTTGAAAGACACGCGTCCTTATTGAAAATTACTTCTACTAAGAAAAGAGAAATGTATGTCTGCTCCAGTAAAAATGAAAATATGTACCCGAGTGCTTGTAAGTACCTTTGAGTATAAGTTTATATACCATGTAAAAATGTATGTGTTCCAAGGCAAAAAGTTGAAACCACCAGTGGACTATCATTACGTTTTAAATAATTAAATTATAGCGCGGGAATATTTGGACACACTGTCATCTGCCACAATTGATTTTTGATTGCATAACGACTTGGTCAGCGGTCCTTTCACATTTTTCAATTTTAAGCACTTCTTAAATGGACATAAATACTAACTGAAATTAACACGTTTGTAGACAATTAGACACTAATATGCCGTTCAATTATTAATTGAGCTAAGTACTTCTCTCGTATAAAGGATGTGGCACATTGGTCTGACAGGTTAGGATTTCCTGAAAATACTTAGACCTTCGTCTAGCTACCAACTACGTTTGGATATTTAATTTTTGTTCTACTAACTTGGATTGGCCGATTTAAAGACCAAATACTAGTTATATGTATTTAGGTTAAAAATGAGTTCCTTGAGAGTTTGGAGTATAGTTACAATAAAAAAGTGTCGTTGGGTCATAGCCGAAAACAATGCAGAGTATTTATGAAATAACCCAGCGCGTGAGACTCCGTTAAAATATCAGAACTATACAGATTATTCCAAACCAATTAGCTGCTGTAATCATACAGTCTGTTGGAAGATAAACCCTGGATAAGCTTTAGGAAATACCTCCAGTTTAAAATTTCCGCTGATAGAGATTGCGTGGAAAATGCGGGAGATATCACCCCCATCTACGCAGACGGTGAACTGTGCTAAAGACATGTGGTTCCTTCTTCTTCTTTATTGGCGTGCACACCGCGAGTATAGCCGAGTTTACAACAGCCGGCCTTTTTACAGAGCTTTCAGAGTTTTCATCCATTCAAAGGACCATAAATCTTCCGCAAAAACTCGTAGCGTCATTCATTCTTCGAAAACTCGTAACGTCGACTCATCAGATGTCATCGTCCATGCATATGCACCATACAGGGTGCGTACCAAAGTAAACAGGCCTTAAAAAAAAAAAACAGAACAAATGGATTTTATTCAAAATAGTCTCCTTCTGCTTCATTACAGATTTTTTCACGGTCCAAAAGCATGTCGAACGGGTGTTTTAGCTCTGTGGCCCGTATGGCCGCCAGTATGCCGGTGCAAGCCTTTCGAATGGCCTCTACGTCTGCATAACGCTCGCCTTTCATGGTCAAATGCATTTTTCTGAAAAGGATGAAGTCGCGCGGTGCCATAGCAGGTGAATACGGAGAGTGGTTAATGGTTAAAATGTGATTTTTGGTCAAATAAGCGGTCACAAGCGTCCTTCGAATGTTTTCTGAGCAATTTTTGTTCCTCAGTCAATTTGTGCGGAACAAACCGTGCACACGCCTTTCGTAAGTCCAAATGTTGGGTCAAAATGCGATAAATCGATGTTTTGGATATGTTCAATTCCATTTTCATAAATTTCAATGATGATTTCGGCTGATTTTTGATGAATTCACGCACAGTTTCGACAGAATTTCCCATGATCACGGATTTTGATATTGAATATTTCATTATATTTCTTTTTGCAAGTCACACAATACACTAAAAGTATACACAAAAATTCAAAACAAAACCAGAGGGCTATAGAAGAGAACTAGGGACTGGAAGGAAAGATAGTGAGATGGAGCCAAATCTGAAAAATATAAAATATGAGGCTCTTGCGATAAGAAAACAGTGAGTATTTCTCAGTATTTCTTCCATTGGTGTTCTCTTTAGTCGCGGTACAGTAACGTGTCAATCACACTCGATAAATGTTTGGCCGAACATCTTCCACAATCGAGGCTTCGAGGGTCTACTGCCTGTTATTAGGACCTATTTCGATAAAAGGAGACCCTGGTAGATTTTTTAACCATTACCAAACATTGATGGTTTTAATGCAGAACTTCTCTCAAAATAAACGCGATTCTCAGATATCGTGAGATCGGCAAGAGATCGTTAAACCTATGCAATTTATACCAACAAAAACTATACACTATAAGTAAAGATTAAACCTATATTTCGTCATTTATTTAAAATTATTTTTTAAAATATTTTCATAAATACTATATGACAAGCACCTTAACAACCACACATATTTTTTAGTATTCTTAAACACAATAAATTTATATTATTAAATATTGTAAACTTGGAAGGTAAGATCTCACAATTTTTTTGGTTTGTTATCTATAAATTCTGGCAATCTTCAGAAAATTTAACATCAACTCCATTTGAAGGCCAACCCAATGCCACTTGTATTGATCAACACGGTAAGCATAGACGGATTGGCAGATAACTTTTGAATTTTCAGCACTGGTACAAGGTAACCATGGGCATCATCATAGTCCTAAAATTAAATTAATAGAAAATATATACACATAAGTTTCTAATGACTCAAAATAGTCTGAAAATAGATTTTTCTAAACTGCTGCACGATTATTGTCAGAGACACAAAGGCTTGCGTTCATTATATTCGGTATCAGATGGCTCGAAAAGTTAGAGTCCGATTATGATAGCAGCTTCCTCACATTGCAGGCACTATTTTAACTAACTTTTGCTCCGATACCACTTTTCAAAAACTTAAAAAAATATTTTAACGAATTTTTTACAAATTTCGAACATATATTACAAATATTTTCAACCAACTTTTCAAAAACTCCCACACTTTTGTCAAAAGTTTTGAGTACACTTCTCAACAATTTTCAACTTTTGAAATACTTCTAACCCACTTTTCAAAAATTTTTAATCTACTTTTCAAATATTTTGACAATTTTTCAAAAAAATTTCAGCCTACATTTTAAAAATTGTCATCCAGTTTTCAAACATCTTCAATTAATTTTTCAAAAAATTTCAATATACTTTTCTTGAATATTGGATACATTTTTAAAAATTTCGAATCCGTTTAAAAAAAAAAAAACTGTACTTCAAAATATTTAATTCATTTTTCAACAATTTTCAATCCACTTTTCAAAAGACTTATACGCCATTTTTCAAAAATTGTAAACCTATTTTCAAAAATTTTGAACTCACCTGTAAAATATTTCCCTCTAATTTTTTAACAATTTTCAAAAACCTTTCAAAAATGAAGAGCTTCTAACCCACTTAAAAAAATTTTCAATCCATGTTTTAAACTTTTCACCCACTTTTCAAAAATTTTGAACCCATTTTTCAAAAATTTTGACCTTTTGGGTTTTCAAAAAATGTCAACCTACTTTTTCAAAACTTGATGTACTTTTCAAAAATTTTCAATTCACTTTTCAAAAATCTTTAATTTACTTTTCTGAAACTTTGAATCCGTTTCTTGCAAAACTTTTCACTAAATCTTCAAACATTTTCAATCCACTTTTCAAAAAAAAAAAAAAATCAGCCCACTTTCCAATATTTTAAATCTTCTTTTCAAAAATGTTTAATTCTTCTTTCAAAAATATTCATCCTACTTTTCAAAAAATTTTAAATCAACTTTTCAAATAATTTTCTTTAAATAATTTTCTTTCCTCTTTTAGAACCAACTTTTCAAAGATTTTGAGCGCAATCGACTTTGTAAATTTCACAAATTTTTTTTTCATTTTCATAAATTTTTAACCCACAACCATTTTTCCAAAAGGTTCAACCCCCTTCAAAAATTTTGTACTCACATACCAAGTTTGTTTAAATTGCTTGGTTGGAAACTCACCAACACAAATTGCCGCACATACTGCACCACCCGTTGGGGAATATTTAGATGCATACTAAGCGCAACCTTACGTTCACGTTGCTTACGTAAGCATTCCGTTAGACCGCATAACCATTCGCGTGTATTTGCGAAGAAGTTCTCATACAACGTGACCATATAGAGGTTTTCCAAGTGTGTATTATTTTCGACGAGTTTAAACAGGTCAACGACCTTCAAATGACTTTCAAAATAAAGTTCCCTCAACGTATGCAATGTGTAAACGAAGTCCTTTAAATAATTACAATAAAGTTTTTCCAAATTCACAAGTGTCTGTGCGGACGCATTAAATAGATTTGCTGTCGCTATATCCGCTTCATCATCATAGTAACGCATTTCCGTTATGTGTGGGAAGACGCGCTGCAAAACCAAATCCATATCACGTTTAACGGTCGTTGCACCCGTCAAATGCATACGAAGAATTTTACGTCTTGCTAAGAGTTCGTCTATATGCAATGCTCCTAGTTTAGCGCTACAAATGTAGAGTTCACGCAAATTGTGGAAGTTTGCTAAATGTTCACCCGTTAAATATATACTATGCAGCTGCAGTACTTCGAGGTTCGGGCATTTCCGCAGTACAATCAACAGATGTCCATTATGGAATTGTTTATCGTAACAACGTAGCACACGTAATGTGGGATACATGAAATGTAGGTAGTAATCGAGATCGGGTCTGCGTGTAAAACGCCCTAAATAACTGGTGAATGTGACATCTGCTGTGGTATGCACCGTTAGCTCTTGTATATGTGGCACGATGTAACTGTAAAATTTTTGAAATTCCAACAAGTTGAGTTCGTCAAAGCTCTTATCACCAGTTGTGGTGAATTTGTTGTATTTCTTGCGCCAAAAGTTCTCAACGATTAAGTCGCGGAAGCGCTCGTTGAGTGTTGTCACAATCAGCTGTTCTTTGACACTCAGATATCGGAATATCTCACATAAGCAATCGTCATTCAAGTGGTCTAACATGTTTCGAGGTTAATTTTCAACAGTGATTTTAGTAATTGACTTATTTTTATTAGAAATCACAACCCTGCCGAACAATTGTTTTCATACACGATGGCCACGGAATTTATTAAATTGCAATCGCTATACGTTTCTTCCGTTATTTATTGTTTTCTTCGCACACCTTCACTTCATTCCGGCTAAAAATATAAACTAAAACAAAAAGCTCAATCAATCGCTTGATAAACACAAAATAGCGCCAGTAAACACAATAATAAATAAAGCGAGAACAATAACAGCACAATATTGAGTCTTTTGTGGCACAAAAGCTATATATTTTACTATTATACATATATGTATGTATGTAGCGTGCTCTAGAGTCATTGACTCAGAGTTGACTTGATAAGCGGCAAAGCTTTATTTCATTTGTTAACCAAAGTGACATCTGGCGGTAGAATTTTGTATCACAGTTATGATGGCTGTCAATGATGTTCAAAATTTAACAGTACTTTAAAGGAATGGTTCATATATTGGCTTTGTCGATTCTGTATCGGTACTTTCGATTGCAAAGGTGAGCACGTGCTAGAAGGTCTACTTTCGAACCATTTCCTTGTCCCGGAGAAAATATTCCACAAAAAAACCGTTTGTAACAATTTAAATTAGGCTTTAATATCCAGCCCGAAGCACATCACTTGAACCTCATGGACCAAATATCCATCTGCAAAACGATGCTGAGTTTACACAAAATCGATTGAAGTGTGAAAGGAATGCGTCCGCTGAATATGGATCACTCACTGCAAGGTCAAGCAACAATGGTCGCGACTGAAAAGTACAGTAAGCCGTCAAAAACGGTGACCAAACCAGTATTGATGATTTGGTTTTGTATTTGGTAAAATTTGTTATGATTTATTCCTTATAATCAACTCTGTCAACAATTGAATCGACCAAAGTAAGCAATTTTGTGTTCCTTTTGGATAAGTCCGGCATAGATCAATCGTTAATGACTTGTTAGAAGCTCCGTGAGCTGGGTTTGGAGGTTCTTATACAACCACTTTCTAGGCCCGACCTGGCACCAAGTGCTTGCTATCGCTTACTGTCTATGGCGAATAATTTTGGGATTAGAAAATTGTATGAGGAAATTACTGGTTAAAAATTTGGAGTAGCTGTGGATGGAGTAGCACGGGCTACTATGTGGATGACATTTCGAGATTACCTTGAAAATGGCAACAAAACTCTAACAAAAGGTGCATATTATTCCAAATAAAAAGTTCAATTCTTGTTACCATACATATTATAAGATATAAAATCAACTAAACACAATTGTATTTGGTATACGGAGGCTAGAGAAAGGTTTGGACTAATTTCGTTTCCTTTTGTCATAAGATAAGTAAATATTTTCAAGAACTTTTATTAATATAATATCGTCTGTCAAAGGCTTTGAGATTTTCATAGTCGGTTGAGAAGGTATTGTCCGATTCCTATCACCCAGTCTTGGTTGACAGTGACACATATTGAAACCACGATTTGTGCTAAGATTTATTCACATATTTTTATTGACGTTAGATTTGTTTGTTGTACAGAAAGGGGATGTGGTTTAGTTACATGGCATCATGTGAGAAGTTAGGCTTAGTTGTAAGTCCGATACACCTATCTTCAAAACATTATATAGGCATATCATGAATACAAATTCCATAATCAAGCTTGGTTCACTTTGGTTGAGCAGTGATTGAGGTATGGAATTTTACCTAAAATCGGGTGGTGCCAATAAATTTTTATATCGCGTAACCGTGCCCTACTATCCTTATGATAAAAATTCATTATTCTGTCGTTCTTTGTTAGGCAGTTATTGCATCATCATCCGTTTTAAACATAGCCGTCCTTTGAGAGATGAACCTCGTTATTATTCTATTTTAACCATTTTTATTGTGCATACGCATCCTATTCATCTGGTTGCACCGATAATTTTAAAATTTTTTTCTCTATATCTATCTCGATTCTACAAGTAATGATTTAATTAAACAGAACAAAAGTACTACTCATTTGGGTTACTGATTCAAAATTTTATCACAATAAAGTTCGAAGTCATATGAAACTTTTTCTCACAAGATTTTCTAATTCCAGTCCACTCCAACTATTTTCTAATAAACATTTCTTTGTCTTTCCGAGGAAATCGAATTTTTTTTTTCATTATTCGTTAGTTTTGATATTCAAAAATATCTCCCCAAAAGGATTTTTCAAAACTCAAATTATCTTCAAAGGTTGAGCGAAACTTAAAACTTTAAACGCGTTTTTCTCAAAACTTCTTTTTTTGATGCGGTAGCCACAATATGCCAAGTTCTAATCAGTCGATTTATTTGAAATTTGGCATGAATATTCTTTAAATATATCTCTATCACTAGAAGCAAAAAA